GTTGACCAGGATGGTCTCGATCTCTTGACCTCGTGATCCACCCGCCTTGGCCTCCCAAAGTGCTGGGATTACAGGCTTGAGCCACTGCGCCTGGCCAAAGTTGATGGCTTTTTTTTCATTTTCCTAATGGTGTCTTTCAATGAACTAAAGTAAAAGCTTTTAATTTTGATGAAGTCCAGTTTACAAATTTTTTTTTCTTTTATGGTTTTTACTTTTTGTGTTCTATCACAAATATTTTTCTCCTATGTTTTATTCCAGAAATTTTATAGTTTTGGGTTCTACACTTAGGTCTATGAACTATTTTAGCTAAGTTTTGTGTATGGTATGAACTGAGGGTCAGTATTTCTTTTTCATACAGACATCCAGTTGTTCTGCCACCATTTGTTGAAATGACTACCATTTCCTGCTGAATTTTTTGTACCTTTATTGAAAACCAATTGACCATATATGTTTGTCTATAGTACCCTAAGTACTGTATGATAATTGTGTGCCTTTTAGTGCATGATATCTGGCAGGGTTATTTCACTCTCTTTACTCTTCTATGCAAGAATGTTCCTATTTCTTATGTTTGTTTTAGCATTCTTTTTGTATCGAGATGTAATTCATATAACACAAAATATATCCTTTTAAAGTCTATACTTCAATAGTTTTTAGTATATTCACTCTGTTGCACACCACCACCACTGTCCAATTCTAGAACATTTTCATCGTCTCAAAGAAACCCTCATAGCTATTAGCACTTAGTTTCAATTCCTCACTCTCCCCATCCCCTGGCCACTACTAACCTGTGTTCTGTCTCTATGAGTTTGCTTATTCTGGACACTTCGTATAAATTGAATCATATAATATGTAACCTTTTGTGCCTGGCTTCTTCCACTTAGCATAATGTTTTCAAGGACCATTCAAGTTGCAGCATGTAACAGTGCTTCATTGTGTTTGATGGCCGAGTCATATTTCATTGTTTGGATATAGCACATTTGTTTATCCATTCCTCAGCTGTGGCCATTTTAATTATTTCCAGTTTAGGGCTATTATGAATAATGCTGCTATGAACACTCCTTTACTAGTTTTTGTGTGAGCCTATGTTTCCGATTCTCTTGGGTGTGTATACCTAGGGTAGAATTGCTGGGTCCCACAATACTATGTTTAACTTTTTGAGGAACTCCCAAACTGTTTTTCACAAGGGCTTCAGCATTTATGTAACCCACAAGCAGTGTATGAGAATTCCAGTTTCTCCACATCCTTATCAACACTTGTACTGTCTTTCTTATTTTAGCTGTCCTAGTGGGTGAGAAGTGGCGTCTCAGTGTGGTTTTGATGTGTATTTCCCTAATGACTAATGATGTTGTACATCTTTTCATGTGCTAATTGGCCATTTGTATGTCTTCTTTGGAGAAAAGTCTATTTAAATCTTTGGTCAATTTTTAATTGGGTTATGTTTTTTATTGTTGAGTCATAAGGGTTATTTATATATTCTGAATCCTAGACCTTTATCAGTCTATTCACAAATATTTTCTTTCCTTCTGTGGTTTGGGTTTTTTCACTTTCTTCGTTCTTTCTTTCTTTCGTCTTTCTTTGTCATCATACTTTATAATTTCTTGTGACCAAAATATTTTCTAGAGGACAGGCATTGTAAGTATTAACGTCGAAATCAGTGAAAACAATCAGTATAGATTAAGTTTTTAAGTCATACTTTCTCAGAAATGTATGTGCACAGGTAATTGAAGATTATCTGTAAGCAATCAGTTTTGGAAAAGCATGATTTTTGAAGAACTCTCTTACCCTGTGAGGGTGATCTAACATAAATGAATAAAATATATTCCTGTAGTTGAACTGAAAATAGGTACATCTCTGTTGCTGAGTTCTAATAATTTTATTCTCTTTAAAAATTTGCATACAGTAAAATTACCAGTATTCTTTTGAACCTCCTATTTCTCAAAATTCACATAGCTATCCCAATAACACTCTTAAAGCCTTAAGCATGTAATTTTATAAAGCCTCTTATTTCCATATGTCTCATAAAGTCTCCTGATAAAATGTCCCCTTTTACAATAGCCATCTTTGGAATACTTTATGATGCAGAGTTTTATTTATGTATGTTGGTTGTTCCAAGCCACTTCACATGGTGGTTCTATGATCAATGTGGCAAGACTGAATATAAGACAATGCAAGTATGGACCACTAGTTATGTTGAAACTCAGACCCTTTGAGGCTACAAAAGAGAACCAGCAAGTATGCATCCTTCAAGCTGAGTGAAAGCTAAATCATTGGATAGAAACAAACAACAACAGAATCATTATGGCTTCGTTGATCACCATGGTGTTTAACTGACTATTTTAAGACATTTCTACACTTAGCTCTCTCCCTACTCAAGGTGCAGCAAATCACTTTCTTGTTAATAATGCATGTCTGGTCTTATCTTGGCTGTGTCTGTATCGCAGTCAATTGTTCAAGTCCTCGAGGCCACTGCCAGCATCCTGGCCCATGGGGGCCCTCTGCTGTCTTTGCTGTCCTGCTAAAGAACTCAGACTACCAATGGAACTACCCATATTCATGAGTTACTTGTCACTGTTGCCTTTCAAGTCTTTTCTGGAGACTAATGGAATTTTTTTGTTGTTGTTGTTCTGGAACCCAGAAGACATTTATCTAATAAAATATTAGGTCATAATTTCCTAAGAATTATTTTAACAGATTTAAACATTATTTTTTAAAATGGGTGAGTCAAAGTCATTTATACTACACAAAAGTTAAGCATGTTTCCATCACCACTTTGAAGATAATAAAACCTCTTTCATTTCCATGTCCATGGGGAACTATGCACCCCAAGGTCCTCCACACATGGGAGGGAAGAATCTTCTCAAGAACTCCCTGAAGTCAGGATTCATGAAGACATGGGTATTTGGGATGATCACAGCACATAAGCATTTCCACGAAGTGGACATTTTATTCCAGGTTTCAATGTCCTTCATTTAGTGCAGAAAAGTCAAAGACCTGAAGGTTTTCCTTGATCCTTTCAGGACTGAAGCTTTTAGGAATGGCAACTACTCCTTGATGGATGTTGAAATGCAAAACAACTTGAGCTATCATCTTATTGCACCTTTTTAGAAGTGATCCTTTAACAAAGGTAGAGAAGACATATTCACCCAGGTTGGAGTCCTAGTGGTCCCCAAAGGGCTATAGGCAATCATGACAATGTCATGTTGTTGGCAAAATTTCAAGAGTTTTGGCTGGGTGAAATATGGGTGGCATTCACCCTGGTTGCTGACTGGCCTGGGTTTGAGTCCTGGGTTGCTCAGGATGAGCTCCAGCTGGCCTGCTGTTAAAACTGGATACTCGGAGGGATTTCACCAAGCCAGCATCTTTGCATGCTTCCAAAGTCTCCCAAGTGGCACACAGATTTGACTTGTGATGTAACCATTTGCCATTCTCACCTATAGGATAGATTTCATCTCCTGGCTTAAGAGAGTATTGGGTATTTCAATGATGTAAAGATCCACGCAATCTAGCTGGAGGACCTTCAGCTTCCTCCCTAGGCTTGGGAGACCAGCTCTGGGTCATATTTGTAGCCCATAGCTTTCCATGGTAGAAGATATCCTTCCTCTGCATTTTTCCTTCTGTTATTTCCCCAGATGGCCTCTGCAACTTTGTCTTCATTTTGGTAGATGCAGGCTTCATCAGTGTGTCAGCACCCCATGTTGATGACAACCTTCACTGATGGATTCAGACTAAATGTAGAGACAGACAACTTGGGCTTTAGTGACAGCTCTGCCTACCACCTACTTGCTCTTTGACCTTGAGTAAGTCAAAGGCCCCTGAGGGGTCAACTTACACTCTGAGTAGGTACCAAGTCCAATGACTGGAATGCTGTTTCCATCACTTAGAGGTATTCGGTGATTTGCAGAACTCATTTTCTTCATAGTGTCCTTTGATGCACAAAAACTTTTAATTTTGATGAAGTACAATTTATTGATTTTATATTGGGTTGCTGTGACTTTGGAGTCTTGGCTATTCTTGTACATTAATTTTTTTCATATCAATTTTGGAATCAGCTTATCTTGTTCTAAAACCTTTTGTTGGCATTTTCAATTAAATCAATTGATTAATTAAGGGATAATTTAATTCCTTAAAAGGGAGCTTTCTATCAAAGAAAGGTATGTCTTTCCATTTACTGAAGACTTTTCAGTGTTCTTCAGCAATGTTTTTAAGTTTGTTTCATATAGACACATTACAATTTTTAGATTAAGTTTATATCTAGGTTTTAATGTTTTATTGTAAATTACTCTGATGTTTAAATGTTGACAACTAACAAAAATGTCAAAAATACTATGTGAGCTACAGTATTTCAAACTATTCTATGATCCAAATTCAGGCCAAGTTCAGATCTGCAACCCCAGGTCTACTCTAGCTGTTCGCTCTATAGATAAGAAAGCTGAAGTCTAGAGATGTTGAGTGGCTGATTGAAGCCCACACAGCAAGTAGGTGGTAGGTAGAGATATCACTAAAGCCCAAGGCATCTGTCTCTACATTTCACCTGACTCTCAATCCAGGGCTTTGGCATTTTACCAACCTCCATAAAATATTTGAGGGTCTAGGAAAAGGGCAAAACATTCTTAAATCCATTGAGAACTTATATTTGCCTAGAGACAGACTTTATCAATCAAGATAGAAATTGGATAAGAATTATTAAGAAAAAAAAAAGAAGAACATTAAAACAATGGTCAAATGAGAGAAAAAGCAAAATTCAGACAGACAGATACATATACATACATAGACACGCCCCAAACCCTCAGACCTCCAGGGCTTCCTGCCTGTGAACCGAAAGAGGGAGTGCGAGTTTCTTGGCCTCAAAGGCCCCACAGTCCTCCACTTCCTGGGGAGGCAGCAGGCCAGTAAAGCCAGCAGAGACTCTTCTCCTCTTCATCGTCCCGGCCACCACTGCTTCAGCCTCTGCCTCCCAGCCTCTTTCTGAGGGAAAGGACAAAATGAAGTGGAAGGCGCTTGTCACCGTGGCCATCCTGCAGGCACAGCTCCCGATTACAGGTAGGGCCGATGTGTCCACGGCAGGGAACTTCTAGAAACTCTTTGTGCGTGTATGGGTGTGGGGTGGGAGTGGAGCATGGGAAGGGGCTGGGGTCGTCTTCCAATCCCGCCCTCCTCAAATCCATGGGCAAGTGAGCAGTGAGGGGTCTGGCCAGGTTCTGGCATCTGCTCGGTCACGGCGGAGTTGGGCATGAGTTCAGAGCCAGCTTCTAGAAGATGCAGCTCCGCCAGGTACCGATTTTCCCCGTGATAAGAGAGGAAGAAAGAAGGAAGCAAGAGAGCAATCAAGGCAGGCCCAGGGTGGAGAAACGGAGAGGAGTATTTCACGGAAGCTGGACAGGATGGGAAAATGTCAGCCAGGCCATGTTTCGCGCTGCGACGTTCTAACCTCTATGGCTTCTTTCATCCTCTGGCTGGCTCCGTCACTCAGCCCCTTTCTTTCTTCCTTTGCCAATAAAGAAGGTTTCACTGGTCAGTCAGGGTCATGGCCTGAAACACCCCAGTGGGCCAGAGACTGAGTGGGGGTGATCAAGGAGGAAAGGGGCACGGGCAGGAAGCACCTGGCGGCAGCCTCCACGGAGCCTCTGCCACATCACGGCCAAGGGTCCGTGTCTAGACTCAGCCCTGTCATGGCTGTCCCCCGCCCCACTGCCTGGGGCTGCCGGGTGATGCGGGTGACGCAGCATCCCGGGCTCCGTGACTCACCCCAACCCGCCCCTCAGGTGGCCTTCTAGCCCAGCCAGAGGGCCAGGCGTTGGCAGAACACGGGCAGATGAGAGGATGTACCCGGTTAAGTCACCACCACGAGCAGTGCCCGGCCGACAAGCGGGCTCCCTCCTTACCTCATTCCCGTTGGTGGGAGCCCGGCTTTGCTGCAAGCCTTTAGCTTCCACCATCATGTCTAGCCCAGGTAATGAGGAAGAAAAGCGGTGAAAAGAGGACTAGACAAGCTGCTCAGGGGCATTGGCCTTGTGGCATCTTCCTGGGAAGCGGGGCCAGCTGGATTTCGATTTCAAGAAACAGGGAAGGTGGAACAAGCAAACGTCCTCGGCCCACCTGACGCTCCTGGCAGCCCACCTCAGCATGGGAGTTTGTTCAGGGGCCCTGTTGGGAGGTCGTGAGAAGCCATGGGCACTTCTGCTCCCACCAAAGAGTGGGGCACAGCCGGGGCCAGCGCCCCGGGCGTTCTGAGGCCTGTGCAGCCTCAGGGGTTTCTACCAGGTCACAGCTGTTTTCTCAGAAGAGCCTTGTGGGGTCTGAGTCACACACACCGTGTGGTGGGGCGAGGGTGCCCAAGCTCGCTCAGAGCAGCCCATGCTGATGTGCTGGGGACAAGGGGACCCAGAACAGCTGGAGTTTAGTGACTTCAGGGGAGACGGTCGGGGCAAAAGCTCTAGCTCTGGGCTTCAGGCTTGGGACACCGCACCAGGGAGATCGTGTACTGTTTCAGGGCCTTTACCCGCAGTTTCCTCACTAGTCCGTTTGTGTTCGGCTTGGAGAGACCAAGGTAGGGGCAAAATGAAGTTACAGAGAAAAATGAAAGGCTGCTGGGTGACGGTGGCTGCCAAGAGTGGTAAACAGAACCCCACCCAGCAGACAAGATGGGGGCCCATGCCTCGTTTCCACAAACAGGGGACAGGAGGAGACACCGTACATTGGCTGGATTTTTCGCTTCTCAGTGCCACTTACTTTGCCTCTGTGGAGACTGACATTTTAGCTCTTTTAGATAAGGCTAACAGACAAAAGTTTCTCCAAGTGTCCTAGCCAAGAAACGAGGTACAGTAAGGCAAGGTGTGACTCAGAGAGGTGTCGGCACCGAGGGCTGCGATGGGGCTCGCGCTGTCCGAGGGGACACCTCCGCAGTCTCCCCGGAGGAAAGGCTGCTCACAGAATTTCAGTCCGCTCTTCTCTCTCTTCTTGCTCAGTTAAGCGGCACATCACTTACACCTCTTTAAAATGTCTACTTTTTACTAAGCTGTTATATTTGCATTTCTTTGGAAATGCCCAGATTATCAGGATCAAAGCAAATGATGACCTGGTCTGTCCAAATGAGGAAGCCTCCCTGAGAGAGAATCTACCAAGACGGTCACCAGGGCTTGAGGCCGGAAGAACCTAAGATGGTGTGCCTAGTGGCATGGGCACACTTTTTCCTCCAGCGCCCTCAGTGCCTCTAGCTCCCTCCTCTGCAGTAGCCAAGCTTGCACCCGGCGGTCAGCGTGGCCTTTGTCTTTTATCAGTGAGGAGATGCAGCTCTGACAGGCAGCCTTGGGAAATGCAAGGCTTCCAGGCTTGTGAGCGGCTCTGCTTTTAGGAAGGTGACTGGATGAGGTGGAGTGAGCCCGGCTAATCTCAGGTGGTGTCACAGCACTGCCGCCTCCTAGCTGTGCAACCTTAGGAAAGTTACTTAACCTCTCTGAGCCTCAGTTTTCTCACCTCTAAAGAAAGAATTATATAATATCTTCTTTGCAGAAATGTGAAGATGAGAAGTAATGCAATGTGCCCAATACGTAGTAGACAGCCAACAAGAAAAAATTGAATTGACTATTACTATTATTACGTCTTGGACAGTCTTCTTGTTTTCAAAACCCAAAAGCAGGAGATGGAAACCCATGGCTGGGATTCTTAATTTGCCGTCACTGCGTTGTAAAGCAGCATTGGGCATTCTCTCCATCTGCTGAAATCCACCTCAGCACTCTTCTGACTTCTGGGCACACCCATACCAACACAGAAACAGCAATGATCCCAGGGGTAGGCCCGATGGGGAACAAAGAGCAGAGCTCTGGCTGGCCATAAGATGACTATTACGTCCACCGTTTTCATTTTTTAAAGATACTTACTCTGCAGGGGAATATTCTCCTGAAGTAAAAACACGTCTGAAAAAATATATATACAAGATGGGGGCTGTGCCCCATTTTCAGAAATCGGGGGAAGGGGAGAAAACTACACATTGGCTGGGTTTTTCGCTTCTCAGTGCCATTTACTTTTCTCCTCTGTGGAGACTGACATTTTAGCTATTTTAGATAAGGCTAATAGAAAAAAGTTTTTCAAAGTCTCACTTTGAAAGGAATCAGAAACTAAGAAAGGAATTAGAAACAAAATCCATCCAGTCATCATTGGTTGGGGTGGCCACCTAGGTTCTGAGCCAAAGGGCTGGTGTGGGTGAGGGCAACTGAGTATCTAAATGCAAACTTCTTGAACACTAAATCTTTGCTGAAATTGCTTGGAGGCGAACGTGAAGCAAGCTTTTAAGTGATACCAGCACACACTTTTCATCGGTGGCATCTTCACCACCAGATTGTTTCGCCTTCCAGTCACCTAGCTCTGCTCACCCAAATGAGCTACTTAACTTTTCTATTTTAGCATTTCTCAGGCTTATTAGCCTACATATCACATCTGCTGCTGCTGCTAAGCATCCCCCAGAAACGGTCCTGGGGGCTCTGGCTTAGGTGAATGACACTGCTGTATTCATTTTTAAATTCTTTGGATTTTTTTCCTTTGGTTCTTTAAAAAAACTGATTTAATTGTTATTGGATTTACACTTTTCCAGTCAAAAGTCGCCCAGCATTGTGTCTTGTGCATTATTTAGAAGGGTCCAGATGCTCTGAGGGAAGTCTCTTAGATTAGAGTTGTCCAGACACATGTTTGGGAATCCCTTTCTCCCAAGCCTTATTTATCTAAGGCTTAGGACCTTATATAGGTCAGCTAATTGACTTAATAAATACTGGAAATAGTTCAGAATAAATTTCTTAGCTCTGCTTGGGCCAAAGCTAATTTTAATTAACACTAAAGTGATGGTGTTTGTTAGTCAATTTGAACAAACATTTAATTTGGTTTAAAAAAAATTAAACTGGTCCTTTACCTGTTAATTGAAACCAAATGATTGCTTTAGTGAATGCATGTACATAATCTGTCTTCCGGGCTAAAAAAACAACTTTAAGTTCCCTGAAAACAAAGACGCCTCTGTCACGCTCACAGCTCTACCCAGCGGTTAGCATGGTACCTGGAGCAGAGTCAATATGCAATAAGTATCAATAAGAATTGTTGAATGCACTTTGGGGGGCCAAGGCCGGTGGATCACCTGAGATCAGGAATTCGAGACCAGCCTGGCTGACATAGTGAAACCCCACCTCCACTAAAAAAATGCAAAAAATTAACTGGGTGTGGTGGCAAGCACCTGTAGTCTCAGCTACTCAGGAGGCTGAGGCAGGACAATCATTTGAAGTCAGGAGGCAGAGGTTGCAGGGAGCCGAAATCGCACCACTGCACTCCAGCCTGGGTGACAGAGCAAGACTCCATCTCAAAAAATAAAATAAGAATTGTTGAATGAATTAAAAGGTGAGTGAATGAAGGAAATCTAGATGTTTTCATATGATTACATTAACTTTAATGGTTTATTTGGAGGGTATGTTGAATTGGCATTATTTAGACCTTTCCTCTAGAGAACACAGTATCAAACAATTTAAAAAACAAAACAAAAAACAGAAATTAAACCGGTGGAGGGGACAGGGCAGTTTGAGTGATTAGAATTACTTGAAATGAGTTGCATGGATGGTTTAAGATAAAAATCCTGCTGTTATAAAAATTTTCTGGTTGGACCATATGAAATTTCCACTATTTGTTTATTTCAGACCTACAAAAAATATAATTTCATATGATGCAAATAACATTATAACTAAAAATAAAGAAATATGCTTTTTTTCTGATTAGGCTTTAATACTAGAGAAAGGCAGAAAATAAACAAAGCTAAAACTGTTGGAGATTGTTAACTAGTGAACTAAGATAAACGAATGGAAGGCATCAAGGAAAAAAATACTAGATTATAGTATAAATCACAGTATCCAATCACCCAGTGTCCTGAAAATATGGACAGAAAAAAAAAAAGCAAGATACTTACTATTAGTCTGGTTTGATCCAGGTTACTAAATAATATTTCAGGTAGCCAACATTTTTCTCTTCTCTTAGTTTGAGATATTTTAATAAAGATATCATAAAAATCATTG